TAAAAGTAACTTTGGGGGCTGATCATGCAGCAGACTCTTTATACTTTGTCCCTATTAACGCTTTTTAACCAGATGTGAGAGGTTTAAGAAGGCAATGACAATTGGTATTTGAGGCAGGCTAAAACTACTCAGGATATTTGGTTTTGTCTTTCCTTCCCCTCCCGCTCCCTCATACTTCTTAGCCAGTGTAAATCCACTTCTGATTCACTTCATATTAAAAGTGCCCATTTCGTTACCTGCAGGAGAGGAAAGTTGGCAAGTATATCAGGCTTGACCTCCTCTGCCATTAAAAGGCTTTCAAGTAATTGCACATCTGCCCTGCTAAGCTGGTTGCCCACAAGGAAGCCTTGTCCATGGTCCTTCAAAGCCTGAAAAGGGAGAACAATGACCAGATGTATAAACAACCAATCTGACCACATTCTGACTGCATCAGTCCTTTCTATTAGGCAGATTTTTCACACGTCTAATTTCCAGCCCTCATCCTTTCACTTCCATAACCCTCATAATCCAGACCTCTGTGCTGAAGGCTCAGAGTTGCTGGAATACAACCATGACCGCAAATACCCCACAAAATTTACAAGAGGTTTTAAGTTCAGCCCAGAGTATAACAGAATATTTTGAACTTCATCAAAAGACCAGCACATCCCTTACTTCTTGTTTGTCTGCACTTTTGTGTTGGCAAATGTCATGTTAAGATCTCTCCATATGTAACCTTCTTGTTACAGGAGGAACTACAATGTTTTCACATAGCAAAGACATGATTTTACAGAGTCCTCTACTGAATATACTTTTAGTGGAAATTTAATATAGAAAATGATACTAAAGTGACTTTTGTCCAAAACAACATACAGTCTGAAACTTATGTGGGGAGCTCAGTCTATCCCATGTCTTTGCAGCACTGCATACTTCCAAGATTTGTAGCATCCTTTACCCCTTTTGTATTCCCTCAGCCCTGCCTTCTTCAAGACATTGCACATATATTTAAGTGGTATCTCCCTCTCCATTTTTCTGAGTTAAGTTTGCATGTATCGACCCAAGATGGCATTTCAGAAAGCCACATGAACTATGTTGCTATATCTTGGCTTCCCATAGACTATACCTTCTCATAGACTGGATAGTATCTGTTTGTGGCCTTGTCCACAGTGTTAGCAAGGTATTCCTCCTTTTTATCAGCTGGTTGGTAAGGAGCCCTCATGACTAAGTCATTCAGATCCGTTATTGATTCCGCATACATATCAATTCTGGAAGAAAAAGGTTGATTTGGTCAATTCGCCGTAATAACATAGAAGTACTGACAGCCCCAGTTGAGATGTTAGGAACATCTCTTCTGCCCAAAACACATAGCGTGGAGCAGAACCCAGCAAGTGAAGCAGCTTCTATTTTGAGAGGAGATAAAAGGCAAGTGGAATATGCCTAACCAAACTAAAGTACTACATCCCTTCCATTTTTTGATAGTAGTGGTACTGATCTGTAGCAACATTTTCTACCGTATGTACAAGGTGGGCATATGTCATCCAGACCGGTGCTAAAAAAACAAACAAGCAAAAAATCAGATGTGTTAAACCATGGTTCTCTCCATGTCCTACTGGATACCATCAAATGTGTCTGCTTGTGCAAAGCATTTCATGTTATTTACACAGTCAACAGTGATGCTGGCGACTCGAGTGGGCAGTGCATGAAGAGAGGCAGCAGGAAGACAGACTGTGCTCTGGGCTCCTGGCAACTCTCCTCTGCTAATTACATTGCCCTTTGGTCTTCAGGAACACCCTTCCGATAACTATACTTGCCACCAAGAGTCAAGTCAGCAGGTAATTACTGCGAAGTATTTCAGGTAGTTAATCCTGTTGTAGACATCACCTGCAGCCAAGGGCAGGTCACGCCACACAAAAAACCTGCCAAATCAGCCTGAATCTAATAGTAAGCTGGGATATACTTGCGGTGTTACACAACAAGGCTGTG